AACGACTGGTGGCTCAATAAGTAAATATTCTGAACAAAAGAATGTTAATATAACTAGGCAAAACAACTACCATCTGCGCCTCTGACCCCGCTCTCTTCATTACCAATCAAGAGTTAATACCATTTTAGCTGGTAAGTTAGGTAAAACTACTCGTGCGTCATCCTATGAAAGTGAGGAGCAGGAGCGTTCTGTTACTCCGGATAGTCGAGCTGTTTTTGATTGTTGCGCAAAGAAGCAAACCGGATTATCAGCATTTTCAATCTGGCATTCTTACGCATTCAACGGTTTGAAGAGAAAACACCTGTAATTCCACTGAACGACCTTTTTTTTTGTTTAAGTAATCTAACAGTGAAGTGATCTTATGCTAGCTAATCGATGTTGATTAATAACGCGATTCGAAGCAAACATCCTTAATCTAGCAATTTTCTGTTCAAGAAATGATGTGATGTTTGGCATATTGGAAAACTGTTACCTTAATCAATGTTCAGTGCAATTAGCTCCTCTCTCGTGGCTATGCCACTGTGAGCCGACTGTCTCGACAGCAGTAGAATAGACATTCATCTTGGGCAATTTATGAACCGCACCTTTAAAACCACAACTTAGATGCGTCGCTATAACATGTTTTTACTTACACTCCATGAACATAAATAACTGTTCGTAAAACTTCGCTTTACCCGGAAATTTCCATTCCTATGAACTTTTAAAGTTACAAAGGAATTAATTGATGCTCTACGCCGAGAAATTGATCGGTCTACACCGATTTGCAATTTGAGCCGCAATTTTGTGGAGTTCTTAAGTGATAAAAGCTGCTAATAATTGTTGAATACGATACAGCGCTAGGCCGGATTGATGCTGACCAATGCCGCAGAGTCAGTGACTCTAGATCAGGGTATCCTTCAGTAACTTCGGTCGCGATCACTACCATATCACTGCTAAGAGATTTGTAAACTTATTTTTGAAATGCGGTGATTTTCAGTCAGCCGTTACAGGTGTCAAGGCGAACTGTGGTCGCCAAGCGCTTGCATCAGAGTGCATAATCACACATATAGCAAGATTTGACATAATCACGCCAGAGTATCGTGATCATTGGTGTTAAATGATCTGCTCCATGCCTTTCTGGTGATTGTACGAAAGCACAGTGGAGTCAATTCATTGCTCAAGAGAATTGGCAGTTAACGAGAGCAAGTTCACTCCCCGCGTTGCTCTAATGTATCAAACAACTAACTAATCCATTGTATCACTGTCCCCTCCAGTCATTCACATTCTGCCATTGACTCCGTATTACCGAAGTGTAGGTACAGAATATATATCGAACATCGCTTTCATTTTCGCGGGAGAAAAGGCCACTAACCACAATTACTTCGAGCTTCGACAGTGAATCTTGCGGACCAGTGAGCATTCTGCCCTTTAGCTACTAAACACTGGGTCATCGCAAGAGAGCTACGCATTAGCGATTGCTCGATACTGCGTGCATGTGAACTCGGTTTCGATTTTAACACAAGGATATCTTTCTCACGAAATACTAATTCCTATGGATTCTAATTCAAAGAAATTTTGGTTTGGGTTTTTATACATTTGAGTCAGTGTGATATCCTGATTTAATTCAATAATGGCCATGCAGGCAAGCTATGTCTTCATTATACTATTATTTGAATGAGTAAAATAAATTTGCATACCTTTAAGCGGAATGTGTCAGAAATCTCCAGAAACCGTTTGCAATTCGAAGTTCAAACTAGAATAATCATCACTTGCAAAGTGTAAAACCATTTTAACTGCAGAATTTACACCTGTTTCAAAATCTTCGCGCACAGACAGGTGCACTTTCTATCACATAGCCTCCATAAGCGAATTAAATTGTGATATCGAATGAATTTTCCGTCCTTGTC